GGGATGAACGTACGTCAAAACAGAACGTGTGCAACGCACACGTTCTGGCTGTCAAAAACAGGTGATCCCTGAATTGGTGCTGTAAGCGGTGATGCCTGATTCAACTGGACAGATAAAGATCTGATTGATCGCATATGCAATCCAGGATATCGATGGATACAATGGTTTGCACGCTCATTCTGAATGACCTTTGGGTCAGGGAATGGAGAAGCTGCAGGAAGGGGTCTGGAAAAAGGAGGGAAAGGAGCGGGGAGGGAGGGGACCCAAACAAGGCCTTATGAAGCCCCTCCCTCCCTCCCTCCCTCCCTCCCTCCCTCCCTCGCTCCCTCCCTCCCTCCCTCCCTCCCTCCCTCCCTCCCTCCCAGGTTTGCAACGCCTGCAAATCATTTCTATGGCTTCTAAACCTGACTCTCTTTCCTTCGGCTCCTAACATTGGGGAAGAGATGAATTTCAGCGGGTACCCAAGAGCCACAAGAGCCACAAGAGCCAAGTAGCCAATTCGCGAGCACAGAACCCAGAGCTACGGGCGGACACAAGCGCTCTCTCCCTGAAGCCCGAGGATTACGCGGGATGGCGTCTAGCTCTATTTCTGAGTCTCTATTGTGTTGGAGCTGGAATGCTTTCATGCGCAAAAACTACACCAAATGACACGAATTCCAAGAGATGACATATACATACACACACACATATATATATATATATATATGCTCACCCCCCCCTGCATGACCTACCTTTTAGCTAACAAAAGCAGGATCTCATCTATCATTTGCCCCTCCCTTCATCGCTATTGGTGGGGCACAGCACTTGGTTTTCATTGCACACGCGAGCAAAACACAAAACTAATTATCTTCAATGCTTATTGATTGAAGCAATGGAAAACCTGTTCCATTATGTTATTCACCGCCACTCATAACATAATGATGTTCCATTTAATATTAATGACACGTTTTTTTTAAATATAATTTTCTATATTTCTTTAATATCAACTATGACAGATGTCCCAATAATATAACCAATAAACATAACTGAATATGAATTCAAACAATCCAAATATGAGCACGTGCTAAAATTACCATTTAGAAGTATTATAGTTGCTTCATCGACGGGAGGCAAAACAGTTTTAGTCCAAAACCTTATCTTGAATGTTTATAGAAATTCATTTGCAAGAATATTTATATTTTCCCCCAGCGTTCATAATGACCCAACTTTTACAGAAGTTAAAAAATACATCAGGGATGAATTGCACGTGGATGATGAAAAAGAACACATTTATTTTGATAATTATAATCCAAGTGATTTAGAAAATGTAATTGAAAGACAGAAGAAAATAATTAATTATATGAAGTCTAAAAAGATAAAGAAACTACATTCAATATTAATCGTTATAGATGACCACACATTCAATATTCATCGTTGTAGATGACCACGCAGACGATCCTAAATTTGTTAGATATAGTAAATTATTACACGGACTTTTTACAAGAGGCAGGCACGATGCAGTAAGTGTAATTTGTTCAACACAAAATATAATGTTTTAGTGCCTATCATTCGTTTAAATGCCAGTTCATTAGGTTGAAAAATGCAAGTGAGTTAATGAGTTTTATTGAAGAAAATAGCGCCATTGTTGATAAACAGCAATTATTAGATATGAATCATCAAGCTTGTTATATTTCGCCGTTAATGACGCACCTTATAGTTTCTTCTACGTGAATATGAATGCTAAAGACATTAACAAAATGTTTCATATCAGATTTGAACAGGCATTTCAAATTACGAATGATGAATAAAGATATTCTAATTTAATATAATATAGTAATATGCCAATGAAACTATGTAGATGTGGTGGATTTTATCGTAGAGGTAATTGTAATTTTCATACTAATTCTTGGATACATAAACTTTATAAAGTATTGAAAAGAAGGGCAACAGACGAGGAATTATTAAGATGTCAAAATAATTTTGTTGATGAAGAAGATTTAATAGATGATATAAGTAGTACTACTTCAACAACAATACCAGAGGATAAAATGACAGATTATGATAGCAGTCAATAATATTATTATATGTTAATATTATTTATTTAAATTAACGAAGCATTGCAAAATTTTAAGGCAGGAAGTTTATATATTAATTTGTCAGATTTTTCTTTCTCTAGTTTCTCAATTCGTGTCACACATTCTTGAAGAGATTTAATAATTAAAGTGTCTGCTCGTGTTTTTTCATCTATACTTAAATTCTTAATGTCTTCCAAACTATTATTTCATTATTTTTACTTTTACCAATACCCATTATATATGCTATTATTAAGATTTCAATTTTTCAAAATTATCTTTTTGTGGTTCTTCTTCTTCGTCTTCAGTTGGTGCTGGTATTTCTGTTGTGTTAGATGTCTGGCCCACGACAAAATCTTGGATTCTTGGTTTTCTCGAGGTTTTCTTGGTTTTCCTTGTTTTACTTGGGAATTCTTGGTTTTTTGCTTTTTTTTTTTTAACACCTAGTAAATCTTGGTTTTTTGCTGGAAATCCAAAAAACCCTAGTAATTCTTGGTTTTTTGCTGGAAATCCAAGAATTCCCAAGTAAAATCAAGAAAACCAAGAAAACCTCGAGAAAACCAAGAATCCAAGAATCCAAGATTTTCATGTAGATGTCTGGCCCACGACAAAATCTTGGATTCTTGGTTTTCTCGAGGTTTTTTTGGTTTTCCTTGTTTTACTTGGGAATTCTTGGTTTTTTGCAGGAAATCAAAAAAAACCCTAGTAAATCTTGGTTTTTTGCTGGAAATCCAAAAAACCCTAGTAATTCTTGTTTTTTTGCTGGAAATCCAAACAAACCCTAGTAAATCTTGGTTGTTTGCTGGAAATCCAAAAAAAACCTAGTAATTCTTGGTTTTTTGCTGGAAATCCAAACAAACCCTAGTAAATCTTGGTTTTTTGCTGGAAATCCAAAAAAAACCCTAGTAATTCTTGGTTTTTTGCTGGAAATCCAAGAATTCCCAAGTAAAACCAAGAAAACCTCGAGAAAACCAAGAATCCAAGATTTTGTAGTGGACCAAACATCTACCTGAAAATCTTGGATTCTTGGATTCTTGGTTTTCTCGAGGTTTTCTTGGTTTTATGTGAAAAATGCTAAAAACCCAAGGAATTCTGAAGGGTTTACTGCAAAACCATCAAAAACCCAGGGAATTCTTAGTTTTTGACTTAGGGATCTATCTGAAAAACATATCAGTTTTTACACTTGTTTTTTGAATGCTTTCCTGTTTTTTTCTAAAAAAACATGGGTTTTTGCACATTTTTTGCTAAAACCATCAAACCACACTGGTGTTTTCTTAATTTTTCAATGGTTGACTGTGTTGTTTTTTAATCGAAAACCATAAAAAAACATGTGTTTTTTTTCACTTTTTTATTGTCTGCTAATGGTCCCCAACGACTTTTTGAAAGACAACGGTAGGTCATGCAGGGGGGGGTGACCATATATATACACCTATATGTGAGATCGAAAATTAATTGGCTCTGGGATGGACTCTTGGAACTGGAATTGTCTTCATATCACTTTTCTAGCCTCATATGTCTCTAAAATATACAACTAGACCTACATATTATTTCTATTTTGTTACTTTCTACATTAACTCATTCACTAGTCAACAAATACAATCATAAAGGCTTTAGACGTCCCTCAATTTTAACCCTATGCTCTACACAACAACGTGGTGCAACGAAGCGCGGGATGCAATTGTACCAAAGATATCATTGATTTTTCCCGCACAGCTCTATGTCGTGTCCTGGTTTTTTGAAACATGATTACTGTTGCATTGCCTTGTTGGAAGTGCGACCCGCGGCTTGCTTTCGTATTCACGTACCAGATCAAATCCTCAGCCCAAGGATAGTTGGGACAGCCTTTGGACAAGTGGTCACCCCGAGCTCACCATCTTGGCCCTACCCTGCCTCGAAATGCATCTTGGTCCCAGGACGCTTGGAATCTTGCTCTCTTTTTTTTGCAACCATCTACAAAACTGGATTTCGACACATTCCCAGATTTGCGAGCCGCAAGATCCAGGCGCCTGCGTCCCGCGCAGACTTCTTCCTTTTGTCTGTCCTCACCTTCTCACCCTTCAGCATGGCTTCAAGTGCCTGAAGCCAAGAACCCGTGTCCACTTCGGTTTGCATCCGGGGTGGCTCCCATCTGAGTTGGGGATTGATCCATTTTGGGTGGTCTGGACAAACGACTCCTTGTGTATGAAACATATGTATTTGATTTTGCTCGACAACGGACAAAATCAAGACCTAGCACATCTACCCGCTCCAGCTTGTTTGCGGGGCCTCCTCCGGGTTGGCTTTGGACTTCTTTCTCTTTTTGGCCTTGCGCTCCTCCTCTGATCTCGAGCTAGAGCCTTAGAGACCCCATTCTAGGGGTTGATTCCCCATTCTTTTCAACCATCGTTCTTTCAAAGGCCATCTGTTTCCACTGGGGTTCTGATGGTTTTCTGGAAAGAAGGACTGGAAAGAATGGGGAAGTGTCCCCTAGACAGCCTAGACCCATCGGCTTTTCCAAGCCCAAAGGACGATCTGTTGCACCACAACATGGCAGCCACGTCTAAGACCGGTCGCCTGCATCTGGCGGAAAGGATCCTTTCTGCGGCACGGGGGGGGGCGGGCCTTCAGCTGGGAGCTTTCTGAAGCTCTGCTGCGCTAGTTCTGGCATATCGCTGTAGTCATAGGTGGCCTTTTGGAAAAATAAATGGCCATGGTAAGTGCAATACACCAATCTAAACCAGTGCCATTTATTTCTAGCCAAACTAACCTAAAAAGGACACCTGTTGCTGTAGCTTGAACGCATCACTTTGCGGATCTCCTCTTGCGAGTCAGGCTCGACACGTCACAAACTGCAAGCGCGTCAAGCACGGCAGGCGTGAACCCCCAACCAGCCGTGTACTTTGCAAACACTTATGCCGGCTTAGCTGATTCTCCGATGCTTCAGGATTCTACAGCGAGCCTGTGCCAAAGGCCAATCAACAGCCTTAGATGTTGATCTGCTACCAGGCAATTTGTCCCTTGGTTCTCAGGCGCTGGTAAGGCAACAACACATTATTCCTACGCATTACAATCTGCAGCGACTGTAGTTTTGCTAGTCATTTGGGGACTCTATTGCACACCAATCACCCCGGTAATTGCCTTCTGCGAGCTTCGAAAGACATGAATATTCACCGTCCCCAACTGACCTGATTGATGGTCGCAAAGCTTTAGCCGGCCGTGAAAAGGGGTGTTTGCTTGGCCCTTGAGACGTTGGAATCACTTTGCAAGTCTTGCCTGCGCCGTTTTATTGGGCCCAACCCCAACAAAAGAAAGTCGTGATTTGGCCGTGGGTCAAAACCAACGGTCCATTTTGGGGTAGGTGCACCACCAATTTTGGTCTATTTTAGTGGGGATTGGGATGGTCACTGGGGGTACGATTTGGATTTTGAGCCATGGCCATTTCCGGCCCATGGCCTTCACCACTTGCAACTCTCAGCCCCAGACTCGAGCCCGAGCCCGAGCCACCTTTCTCCACGAAGCTGAGGTTCGAAGGCCTGCGTCTCCGCCCGGTGTGGTGTGGAGGTTGGGAAATCCCACAGGTGGAGGAATCCCGCTGTGGCAACCACCAACTGTTGCTTAATGGGCAAGAGGCAGCACGAAACACCGCCGCACCATGAAACCCAGTTTGCATATTTGCGCTGGCAAACCAAATAGCAACACAATCGAACGGACATTCTCAAAAGAGTTGACCCCCCAAAGGACATCATGTTCTGAGTAGCTTGCAGGATGATCCCAACAGCTGTCAGTGAACAGGTTCATGAACGGATCCGAGGTTCCATTCTGTCTGATTAACATGGGGAAAGCAACTCCAAACTCCTTTAAACTCATCTGTCTTTAGAAGGTTCGCCGCCTCAGATTGTAGAAGTCCAATCTGTGGCACCAAGTTCCCCAACAGGCAGCACGTGGAGCAAAAAGGAACGTGTTTCATCACGTGCCCTCCATTTTGGGGCCAGAAGCACGGGTTTCATGGCAACCTCTGCGACCCCGAAAAGGAGAAGCCACGGCCGTGAGTCGTGGCACTCCCCGCCTCACCGACACCACTTCTTTGGTGTCCTCCATCTCGATCTTCCACCGGCCCTGATTTGACTGTCAGCCGCTTCGACTCAGCTCGACTTGGGGCTCAAGGAGCCGAAGGACACGACAATCGAATTTCCCAACCACAAAAAGTCCACTTGTTGCTCGTGGTTTGCTCTGGCGGACTCGAATTTCCCAATTGCAGTTCGAATGGCCCTGGAAAAGGATTACGAGACTCTCAGATCCAGAGTCTAAGCATGGGATCTGGAACCCACCTCCTTGCAGAGCCATGCGCCACATCCAGCAAGCATGTGCGATAAGAATGGAGTTTGGAACTTTTCAGTGACCTGACCAGGACTCCAAATTGCAACATTCTTTGCCAACCAGATGGGACTTATGAAGTACTTGTATGTCTTTATCATTGTTTGTGCAGTGCGAGTAAAACCGCATCTACCAACGTCCTTACTAGTTTTGAACTGATACCAATGTCTCTAACCCTTCTGAATGATTATGTCTGTTGACCATGGCACATTTATCTGAAGCTTGCACCAACTGCACTGCCAACTCATGGCAGCACTGGCAGTCCTTGTCAGCCATGAACTCCTTTGTCACGCCCACCCTCTCGTTGAGCTTCCTGCACGACTCTCAAACCTCCCGTTGATCTCCGGCTATCCTTCCATGCAAACAGATCCCCTTACCAGCCCATTCCCCTTCAAACTGCCAGCTTATGCCTTGTTCCCTAAGGCTGGGCAACAGCCACTCCGAGTCGAACTTCTGGTTCAACATCCAGAAACCAGCTGCTTTTTGACCAACCGCCGCATGCCTTGGAAGAAGAAACTGGAGACTCCAACTCGGCAAACCCTCCCTGGCAGTCTTTGCTTTTGCCACATACGTGTGGGTGTGGGTCAAACATAGGTACACAGAATGGAAACCTGGTACAAATCCTGCGCTCTCTGTGTGGTTTAATTTTGACCCTGCGCGCACCTCTTTTGGCGCTACACTTTCTAAAGAAAACCAAAAAGGACACTAAGGACACGCCCATAAACCTAACCTCGACTACCGGCCTGCCACTTTCAGATTCCAGGCCACTCACCTGCCCGGCAAGGACTCACTCGAAAGGCATTTTTTTTTGGCTTGCAAGCCACCAGCATCGACTTAACGAAAGCAAAGGGTGATTGTTCCGGCTGGCCCAGGCTGTTGTGTTTTCAGCACAAGCTGCTTCCGCGCAAGCTATGTGGCTTGTCTGTGAAACAACATGCTATTTCTGTTTACATCGAGAATCGAACCGGGCCACGTATTTTTTCCGCCAACGGGTTGAACGTGGCCATCAGCAAAAGGCTCATGCACTCCAATCAGCTTTCTCATCAGCTTTTGCACGCATCATCGATTTCAGCTCTGCACCACAGCAATTGGCTGGTAGGGGTAGTCCTGCATTTCTTAGTTGACATAGTTCAATCACTTTCTGGCTGAATGAAGATCAGAACGAATTGTGAAATCTGCAAGGGTACTCAATGGAATAAACACCAGTGTCCCTGTGCTACAGCATATCAGCAGGCCAGTTTTGTCCTAACAGCTTTACAATAATCTTTCTTGAGTTATACACGTGCCACAATTCCGGAGAACCGCAAGTGGCTCTGCTCACGGTATGCAATTGATGTACCAAAATGGCACCCTTGCATGGTAGATGGCGCCAAAGACTAAAACCCGCGTAACCCTAGCTCGTTAACTTTCAGCAAGAACCATCTGAAGGCAAATGAGACCAGCCATGGCGAAGCCTCGGCCAGCGATGCTCCCAGCCTCCACCCGATCGCCGACGTTGAATCTGGCGCTCGATGCACCTGGCGCGATCGCTCCGGCCATCGCCTCTGTACAGACTGCGCGTCGCTTCGCCGTTTTTTTCTTTGCCGGTGCCGAATCCAGCCCCTATGGCCACACCTGGAAGACCCGACTTTCAGGTTGGGAGGTTGGGAGGCCAGACATCGTCGAAAACAAGGCCCCAGTGGAAAGTCCTGTGCCTGCATCCCCTGTCGCGACGGCTGGCAGCTGCTTCAGATTCTCTGGTCTGGCGTGCGGCAAACGCTTCTCACAGTTTGTCAGCAGAGCCACTTATCGCTCCCACCAGTAGACCATGGCCCTTCCAGGGAAAGGCTTGGTAGAGATCGGATGCTCTCAGATGCGTGCGAGCATGGTTGTTGCCCCGGTCACAATATGTGACACTCAGGACACAAACACAATCAAATCTTGCACTTCAAACAACCCAATTCTCAGAAGTAATTTAAGTAGCATCCCTCTGTAGGTAAAGCCACATCACAGCCCACACAGAGAGGCCAAACACATTCACAACTATAACACTGGAGGCACCAACATGGGCTTTGAAGCAGCATGCTGATGCCACTTGCCCCTTCAAGGTACCGTTTGTTGAGATTTCCCAAACCAGTTGGCGGTGGGTCAAAAATATATACCCAAAATGGAACCCTGGTAAGTGGAAACATGGACCAAAACCTGCGGTCCCCTGGTGGTTTCATTTTGACCCATACCCAGTTGTGGATCTTCCAAGTTCCAAGTTCAACATGTCTCCGCGGGCAAGTGAATTCGCTCACCGGCGAACCGGCTGACCGGCGAAGCGTCGGCCTGATGCTGACCACCTTGTCGGTAAGGTTGACCTGGTACCGGCCCTTCTCCTCCACGAAGCTGGCAATGAGGCCCACCTCACCGGAGCACAAAAGAGGTCCTCAGCATTGACACCTACAACGAATGCGCCACACATGATGTTGTTGAATATTCTGCTGGCATTCTGAAAAGGCCTGGCAACCAGCGCCCCCTTCCCTGGCAGCCATGCAAACAAGCCGCTGAAGCCTGCTATCAAACAGCAAGGGAGCCGTGGAAGCAACGTGTGGCTTTTTACAAGCCGCCAAAATCGCTCCTCTCAATTAACTCAACGCGAGCCACAATCAAATACTCCGAAGAACCTACCAAGTTGCACCATGCACCAATTCACTGGCTGTCTTTACACATTCAATGCCACATAGTCCATCTCCCCAGCGCCCACAACCCGAGCCTCCCCTCCCTCCAACCTCCGCACCTAACGCCCAGAGCCCAGCCTGGCCGTTGAGCTGCTTGCCACTCTCGGACTCCAGGCCGAAGATCTCCACTCGGACCCCGGTTTTGATCTCCCCCTGGCCGCTCCATCGCCACGAAAGCGCCCGAGTCCATGGCTGAATGGAAAGGAGAAGATGCTGAGACATGTCCGTGTCCTTCCCAATGGATAAAAATGAAGATGAAGATGATCATGCGAGGAGGAGAAGAGGAACGATGACGATGACGATGAACCCAACATGGTACCATTGGTGTTGACACACGGCCACATGCTTACAAACCACGTGCGCCCCACCGCCCCCGCCGCGCACCTCGGCAGGCGCCGACTCGGGCTCAGGCGCCGCTTCGTCCGGCGCCTCGTCCGCCTCTGGTGGCGCGCTGGCCTCGTAGGGCGGGGATGGTTCAAGCCCAGCCACGGGAGAAACTGGGCTGCCCGTTTTGAGAATTCCCCGCTAAAAGTGACAAACTTGTGGGTTGAATGGAAATCCAACCACTAAACCTTAAAACCCTTGAAAGGCTAACTATCTAAGGGGTTAGAAGTGCCAACGAGGGGCGTGTCACCAGGGTGCCACTGAACAACTGGATTTCTCTTTTCCCTATAGTTTATTGAGAGGTTTCAACAATCTCCGCTCGCTGAACATCAATTGTACACTTCTGCCTTCGTACTTTAGCCTGCCGGGTTTAAGTACTGGCTTGGGACTCTCTTGGGTGCTGATTTGTGTTGGGAACAGGCTGAATGTTCGCTCCATTAGGCACGAGGCAAACTGGTCGTCCTTGTTCACGCGACAGGCATTCTCAAACCCAGAGACCGCTACACAGGGTAGGGTCTCCGATTGCTTTCCTTGGACCAATCACTGGGGTGCCAATTGCACAAAGGCGCAGAAAGAGCCAAAGACCCCCCAAAGGCAACCAAAAAATCTGCTCTCGTACCTCCAGGAGAGTCTGCGCAGACACTCCAGCAAGCCTCAGGATCGGCGAGTAAGGGCAAAAGCTACGCTCAGGTTCAAATAACATCTGGGCCGTCACAGGACACAGCTTCAGATCACATTTTTCCCCTCGAGCACCATTGAGATTCAGTGGCATCCAAGGCGCGATATATTGAAGATGTGGGGGCGGGTGTATAAAACCGGACCCAAAAAACCGGACCAAAAAACACTGCGCCAAGGGGCGTAGCCGCGCGCATGGCAGCAGCCACCTTGGCTTTGGCTGCCTGCATGGCCTCGCACGGCCATTTTTTGGTGTCTCTCTCCGCAGACGCCCAGTGGCCATGGGAAAAAAAGGGCATCCTGTTTTGGTTTTTTGAGCGTAGAGAAATCGGAACCCTTCCCAAAAAAAGGGAAAAAGGGCGCCACTGGGCAACTGGGTCTCAAAAAGGACAGCTCCCATGAAGAGTTAACTGAAGATTGATAGTTTCACCCTTTTTGGTCGAGTCATCTACCGTCACCCTGTTGTAACGGACGATGTTTTTCGAGTCGCCCTTTCAGGGTCAGGCAGAAGGAATTCCCCCTTTTTTTCGACATTTCTCACCAGAGTCATGTTGCCAGGAGTCCTCATAGGGTTTCTCAGCCTGCCAATTCTAGGTCCATCACGGTTCTTGGAAGCCCAGTTCAGGCCCCTGAGAAATGGCACGCACACATTTATCTGTACTTCCCGAATTGGAAAGCAGGGAAAACTCCAGTAAAGGCCCGTCATCATGGGCCAGATTGTTTTACCCCGCAGTTCGTTATAGCTTTCCCGGGTGCGACTCACACTGCACTTCATGATGAAGTGAACTCTCGCAAGGTACAAACCTCCGACCTTGCAAGATCTCGGGCGCTTCAGCTGAGCGTTCCCAGAAATTGGATGCCCGCGACTCGAGAAGCAAAAACAACGCGCGTTTCATCTGGATTCCAGTACGTACACATGGCATGTGCTAATTACTTCCCCGAAAAGACACACACACACACACAACAAGGTCAATGTTGGCTTCCACTGAAACCGCCTGATATCGCCTGATGATGCACACATGAAGCCCGTCTGCAAACTATTCCGTTCAATCCCTGGAGCACGCTCCAACCAAGACTGGCCAGCACCTTTATCTGCTTCTCTGAGGTCACCTTGGGAGCCTAGGGCCAAGGTTCATCAGAAGGACGAGCAACAAAGCCGCCTGCAAGACACACACGCACACACTCAGAAAACAACGCGCGGGGTAGCTTGCAAGAAAGGCTGGCAGCCTCAAGGACGCTGCCAAGCAATCTCCATAAATCCCATCAAAGGCTATTTGGCTAAAAGCGACAATCTCTCTATATGAATGCGTATGCAATATATATATATATATATATCTTTTTTCAGGTAAGTCTATTTGAAGGGAACCCAAAGGAGGACCACCAGCCGTTTTGCTGGGTCCACCGTTTTGAGACAAGCCCAATTATGAAACTCGTCCGCGCTCCCGCAAACACGTCGCCTCTTCGTCCACTGCGGTTCCGTCCTGTTTCAAACATGCCGACGCGGCACCAGCAAGCGGTAATTACATGAACTCCATTTGAATTCCATGTCACAGGCACAAGCAGATCAGCTGAAAGGCCTTGCCAAGTATGCGTGCTTCGCAAGGACAAACATTTTTTGGCATGCCTTCCAAACCTTGTATGGCATCCTGGCCAGGCACGTCGAGCCATGGTCTCAGGAGCTGTACAAAAAAGCAGGCCGACCAAGCAGGGTGCCACGCTTCAAGAGCATGCCTCTGCTGGCCACTAACGAACGTCCGTGCTGCAACGCTGGTCGGCTGTTTCCACGGATCTGGCATGCACAAGCCCAAGCTATCGCGCGAGCAAGCCTCTTTGTATTTGCTTTTGCTCGGCGCTAAAACCTATTTCTGGCCGGTGCAAAGAGCACTTCCCGAAGGGGGGACATTGAACAATCAATTGATACGCAGCTAGGCTTGCCGGACATGAAGATGGTTCTTGGGTGCTCAGAAAGGACAATCAGCCCCATTACCCGACTCCCAAGTTTGTGGAGCTGTCATTGCTGACCCGCTCCTCTTGCGTGAGACTTTGCACCTCTGCGACCTGTGCCGGGCAAAAGCCTTCTCTAGGCTGTGTGGCAAAACAAATTGGATTTTGGGGCGGCTTTAAAAGGAGACCACCGTCACGCCAACCAACCTGGATAGGTCCAGCCAACGGTGGCACTGCCATGACTTTTATTGGTTCCACACAAGCAGCGCAGCTTCGCCAATGGGGAAGAGAACCCTTGACGAAAAGTGGCTTGGCATGACTGAAAGTGATTTGGCTGGTGCGCCGAATAAGTTGGCTGCCTATCACTCACCCAGAAGACTTTTTGTCTTTCTCGTCATCTTCAGCTTGTGCTTACTTCGGGCACGAGTGTGCCCCTTGAAGCACAACTGAAAGCACAGACAGTTACAAGTTGTGACGTCTTGTCTACCCCACTTGAGCTACAATAAACACCCATCAAAAGGACGGTCGGACCTATGGATAGTTGGGGCTGCTCACCAAACCTGACTTGCCCAGACTTTGATTGTGCCAATTTGGCAACAGTACTTTTAAGCTGTGAAACAAAAACAAATGCGACCATATCAACCTTGCTTTGCTAGAAAGCATCCCTCGTGCAGTGGATGGCAGGTCCCGCCAAATCGGGTCGCCCTTGGATCTACAGATGTCCTGGAGGTGTCCTTTTAGCAGAAATAGATGGCCCTGGTAGATGATTAAACCACCAGGTAAACCCGGAATCGCCATCTATTTTTCTACCAAAACAATCAACAAGTCTCACCCAAGCCCGACCTACAAAGGCACGGCGCATTCCCTGAATACCGCAAGTAAACATGGGAAAACCTTGGGCTGTTCCCCGTCCCCTCGCAAACTACATGGAATCAAGCACCCTACTATCAAGGCCAACAGATTTCGCGGCCTGTGGGAGATCTGTAAACCAGAAGGGTCTGATTTCTTGTTGAGGCTACTTGTTTCCCTGTCAAAATTCAATCAACAGAAAACCACTTTTGTTTCTTTCTTGTTTTTTGGTGTGTGTGTTTTCCTTCTTTCCTTTTTGTGTGTGTGTGTGTGTGTGCGTGTCAGCGTTTCCCCTGTTTTGACACCACCCATGACCTTGTCTCTCCCCCAAAACAGGTCTCCCGATTGAGCCCCCCGCCGCGGCGCGGAAGGTCTTCAGCGTCGAGGCAGCGGCCTTCCCCAACTTCCCCTTTGGTTTCCTGTACTGTTGGGTTTGGTGATTTCGAGATTCTCCAAACCTTCACGTACCCGGGTTTCGTGGCTCAATTCGTGATTTGGATATGGGTACCGCCAGGAATTGGTGATTTCGAGATGGTAGGATTAAAAGGGTGGCAAACGGATGTTCATCCCCAAAACGGAGAGCCATAGGTTATGCAACCCATGGCCATTTGTGGTTGGGACTATCCAAACCTTCACGTACCCAGGTTTTGTGGCTCAATTCGTGATTTGGAAAGGGGTGAAAAGTAGTCACCACCAGGAATTGGACCGCACGTTTTCGTCCTTGGTTCAATTTACAAGGGCAACCCATTTCGGGTACCGGCCCCCAGGTTTGACCCCCATTTGGATTGGTGGTTTGGTGGAGGGGTTTCCCATTTACCCTCCAACCAGGGGTAAACAAATCCAAATCCAAACCACCGATTCAGGGTAACCTGATAAAAAGGGGGTTGAGTACTTCCCCAAAAACTTGGATCTCGAACAAAAAGGAGCACCAACATCCCGAGGAACCAGAAACCAACCCGCTGCAAATCGATTGGACGGCCATGGTCCAATTGACGTGGAGCCTGCCCCCTACCTGGTCAATTTGGAGACAGGACAGTCCCAACAAGATACAGCGTACTCGAGGTTTTAATGCAAGCTTCAAACGTGTCACATCTCGCGGACATTTGTCTGGCATCATTATTTTACCATGATCAAAGTCACCCGCTAAGTGGTGGTTTAAAGGGCAACCACCCCATGTTCTGACTTTGCAAACCCCCAGAAACAGTCAACACAATGACCCCAGTTGGTTGAATTTACAGATTCGCCAAAGGAGCGGCAAGGGCGGACCTCAAAACGAAACTGCTAGGCCACGAGCAAGTGTTCGTAGGTACTGCACTCATGCCGAACAAGGAACGGCATGCGGGATGCGAAGGCAAGCCGCAAAATTTGACCATGAATTCCATGGATTATTGGCAGAAGGCACGAGACCAACTTGTGCTTGTGGTGTCTAAAAATGTGACACTTTCACGTTCTTCATGGTACGAGTAGCGGGTCCATTGCGCTCCTCCGACATCTCCTCCGGCTTTGCATCGCTCCTGACGCTGCGAGATCGGCTTTGTGCTGTGGGCATTCTGGCTTCTGTGGAAGATCACTTTGAGTTGTGGTACAATTCTCAGGGGTATCCATCCCGTCCTGTTTCCGTTTCACACAGCAGAAGTCCTTGCCTTCTGGTGGGGGTACTGGCCTCATTAGTTTGCCATGATCAAAGTCACCCCCTAAGTAGTGGGATAAAGGGAAACAACAACATTTTCTGACTCTGATAACCCCCAGAAACAGTCAGAATAATGACCACAGGGGTATGGTCATGTCTCCCTTTTAAGAGCACGCGGCCGATCCCCAAGGCTGGCAATGACCATCATCAAGCCACCCCCACGCGGTTTGCCAGTACGCCCTTCCCGGTTGGGCAGTCCTCGTTTCATCGCCCATGACCGCAAACGTCCCAAGCCGATTGTCGCAGTTCCCAGTGCCCGGTATGGCCTGTTTGGCCCTGCCTCTGTAGCTGAGTCTTTTGGAGTTTGAGTGCAGCCAATACTCAGAGAAAAAAACATCAGCCAACTATTCTACAACCAGCTGGTGGCAAAATTCATGCAGACCAAATCGTTGCTTGGGTCATGGCTTTAGCTTGCCTGCTCACGAAACCAGGTCTGGCTCCAACTCACCGCAGTGCAACGGGAGTATCCCCAATAAACATAGTCCTCTTCCAGGGGTCGATCCAAAGGGAAAGCCTAGCCTTCTCTGAGGCTTGGAAAGCTTGTATCCACTTCAAATCCAAGTTGATCCAAATCGCTCCGTCAAACAACATTCCAATGGCTACCTTCCAGTCCAGAGCGTCATCCACACAAAAAAAAATCGTGCCCTTGGCATACACGCTCTTTTTTCTTATTTCATGCGGCCGAAGCACCGGCTTGCCATTGGCGTGCTTGAGATCAAGCTGAGCGAGTGGCCGAGCTGTCTCATGGAGAGAAGTCTCATGAAACTGGCACATCTGAAGTGACCAAGCATGGAACAAAAGGCAATTTGATGTTCAATACCTCAACCGGCCAATATGAAGCAGGAAACTGACCGACACATATTATATTTTTGCAGATGTCAAGCACCAGTAGGGGTAAGTCAGAGAAGTCGTGGAGACGACGTGGGGTTAAGATCCAGCTATGCCAATTCAACACATTTGAGCACTCACCTGTATGCGTGAGAATGCGAAACTCAATTTGTGTTTTTTCGGCTTCTGCCCCCTTTCGGAGCGGCTCATGCTTTGACACCTTCCCATGTGCAATTGCGGCAGCCATGGTTGCCTCTCTTTTCCGCTGCCAAGTCATCCCAAGGCAAGCGATCTGCGAATTCCAACGAATTACATGGGAGCCAGCAAGATGGCCGAATGCCTCGCATGCCAGACCTGGAGACCACAAATAAATCAACCACCAGTGACTGGGTGGCCCAAAAGGTCCAATAGGTCGGCTTGGGACCAGGGAGCTGCTGAGAGTCGAACCTCTGCAGATTTTCCTGGAAGCCACGTTTCAAGACAAGTGGCACTTCGGCTGCCCAAGAGGCTTCTCTGCACAGAGACCTGGACTCACTGGAGCTACCGTCACCTCAAATGCTTCTGCTCACATGCCGAAGCCACGTCACTTGTGGTTTCGCAATCTCCCAAACACGTCGCTCGTACAGCCAACTAGCCGGCTGTCCATTTGCACAAAGCATGCCTCGCGGTTGTTTTGGCCAAGCATGCGTGCGACCATCGAATGCACGCTGTGGACACCGTCGTCTCGAGCACTTTATCTGTTCTCCTACGGAACCTGTTTTGTAGCGTCTGCAAATCACTGACTAGCAACGACCATCCACACAGCCCTGTGAACTTTCAGCACTGGGACTGTCTGAGTTGCAAGGCTCAAACAAAGGACGGAACCAGAATCAGTCTGCAGACATGACACACTGCAATCAAATTCCGCTCTTCCCAGTTGCGCATCAACGACAAACATGTTCGGAGAAGTTGAGGGCGAGACAATCAGTGCCGCGCTCACGATTTGCGCCTGACCAGCAGATCAGTCAGCTCAAGTTCCTTGAGACCCTTCTTGCTCTTGGGAAGACCATGCTGGCCCCAGTATTCTACCATTATCAAAGTCACCCAGTAGGTTGATGGGCAACAACCCCAATTTCCGACTTTCTTATCTCCAAAACCAGCCTAAAGCACTGGGCTCAGACTTGCCCAATGTGCCCAATGGCAGGGGACGCCGTTGCAGCTTTATGCCAAATCAGTGTTGCAGCTTTTGCTCGGGTTTATTCGGGAGCAAAGGTAAAGCCACCCTATCCTACCTGGCGGTCCCTATTTGCGGCAGAAGGAATTCCATGAGGCGAACTCCACAGGATGTTGCTTCCTTCCAGCTGCGCTGATTCCAGCCTCTTCTTCTCTGGCACGGCAGCCTCCCGTTCGGCCTGTCGCAAGAAATGAGGGCCTTGTGGCAATCCACCAGAAAAGTCTCATCATCCTGACAGATTGCCAAGCGTTCAGCCATGAAATAATGGTTGGAGTTCGAGCGCAATGGTAACACTTCATGCCTTGACTTGTTTTTTTTGGCAGGTAGCGATATAGGACGGGCTCCTGGCCATATTTGCACATAATATGCCCTCCAAATCTCCGCACCAACTGGCAGCCTTGTCCACTTATTTCAATCCCTTGTACCGACCAAACGACATGTATAGATACCTTGGCGGAGGGTGAAGCCCCCTTCCACTGGGAACATCTCTCCTGAAACCAAAAATGATCCTTTTCAGGAGCAAACCCGGTGTTGCCTCGGCATCCTCGCGCAGCTCCTGCGATGGGTCTCCGACAAATGGCCGTGGGTCAACACCAATAGGATCCCATTTGGGGGTAGGTGCACCACCCATTTTTAGTGGGGATTGGGAGGTTCACTGGGGGTACGGTTTTTGACCCATAGCTATAAATGGGATGGTCCGTGGACATAAGTGGCCTTAGACTCCACAAGCAAACGGTCTGTTCCGCCCAACGTGAGCAAGGAGTCACATACGCTCAAGCCGATCTCCTCGCTTAGAACCGCCACAGGACGATGAGGGAGCGAAGACCAGTGAAAACGAAAAACACACACAGTCAACACTGCGATTGGTTTGACAGGGAGGATCCTGTGATATAGAAGCACAAGAAGACTGGGACGCCTTGTAGGCAACACTCTCTTCGCGTCTGTAGAGCAACAGCACGCTCGTCAGGGTTCGGAGCAACGGCAAAGCTCCCTTTCCGTATTCATCATCCTGACACGACACAAAGTTGTGTTTGCTGAGTGATGCGACAAACGAAAATCCAAACCACACATCTTCGCGAAAGGACGAAGGACTGAACCTCTTCTCACCAAATCGATTGCCGACCGATCCAATGGCCTCCTCAGCCCATGCCTTGGCTAGGCAAGAGAAACGCGCCTCTCCCCCCTCGGGTTGTCCACCCCCAGATGCCAGCTCAACACTGAAACTTATGTACAGTCCTACACCAAATTTGGAAGTTCACCTGTTTTGCAGTCCAGAAGGAAGTTGGGACTGAATTGCTTCCTCTTTGCGAGTGGCCTCCCAGCCGTCTTTGAGCATCCAACAACAGCATCCAAGCCATGCATCAGATCTCAGAGTAGCTGAACTACCGAAGGACCTCGCGGGAGACCCTCACTGCACCGAATGCGCGTTTTTCACCAATCTGGGCGTTGCGGCATCTGCAGCTTCCGCCCAGGATATCTCCTCGCGCCGGGCCGCGCCCTTGTTTTCCCCGATGCTTTGACATCGATGTTCGCCTAAGGAAAGCCACAAACAGCTGGGCAAGCTAATCGGATCATGAGCCTCAAAGGAATCCCCAAGTAAGGAACCTTCATCACAGAGGTTGAAAACCCCAAGTTGATGAGGTGGCTATAGCTCGCCCAGAGCTATCCATCGGCAACACCTGGGTCCTTGAATGCTCAGATTTCATGCGCCCCCTCAAAGACGTATTCGTAAATTCAGCATTCATGGGATCCAAACCCCAGCTGCGACACTCCGGAGGCCTCATTTGTCATTGCAAACCGTGAGCGACATGGGTAGCCAAACTTGTAGTAGAGCACAGTACCATTGCTTGGCACTCGACATGGAATCTTGCCATGCTGCTTGCACACGCAAACATATATCCTCCCCCGAACATGGATTCTGTATGGAGTTCCCTGCTGGCTCAAGGAGCGGTTTGGCAAGGGACAGTTGCAGTGCTTTGCAAAATCAACTTGTGATGAATTGGCTCCAAGCGAAGTGAGGATTATCACAACCCTGGTGATTTTGTTGCGACAAAATGGCTCTCAGTTTGGCTTTGCACGGCTTGGCCCACATTCTCAAAACTCCAGCCGATTGTTGTAGACACTTTTGGCTGGGCCCAAAAACTGTGACAAGTCTGTCATGCGAAGATTCGGGCGAGGATAAGCCACGGCAGCTTTCTCTCTCTCGCACATATGTGTATATACAGTATACATAACATGTATATATATTATATATACATGTAGATTCTAATTGCATCAACATTCTGGCCCTCAAACAACCTGATGCTCAGCCCATCCCCAGCATGAGGAACACACAAGAAATCATGCCCGCGTACCTCAGCGCGTAAAGCTGCCTCATAGGCAGCCTTGCACCTGGGGAGGTGGGTGTGTCAAAGGGGGACCCCAAACATGGTAGCTTTCCTTGCTTCCCTCTAGAGGGTGAAATGAAGAAAAGGGCTACCCACACAACACACATACACAAGTGTCCCTTAAAGAACGTTTTTTTAATCAACATGCTGTTTTTGGGGGAGGGGGCTGGCAGGTTTCCGTGGGTCCAGGGCGCAAACCACCATTTGCTGAACCGAGAGGTGACTCGGACAGCCCCAAACCGAAATGGCTGTGGCTCAAAAACCCGGTGCCAAAATGGGTTGCCCTGGTAAGTGGAAACATGGACCAAAAGTTGCGGTTTGACCCTCCTGTTTAATTTTAAGCCACACCCAAATGAGAACTTGACACCAAAGCAAACGTTTTGCCGTTGGGCTTCACCACCAGCCAAGCATAATAGGCCCCTTGGGGCAACTAATCTGAACAGTAAAGGCACACAAGAGATAAAGCAACGTGGTACTTTGGACTCCTGCATGACCTCCATTTGCATCACAATATCCCCCTGAAAGCACATAACGCACAACGTTTCAAGCTTCAAGTAGTAATGGATTCCCGAGAAAACCAACGGGGGAAAATCCGCCGACTTCATGCCTTGTCCACAATGGGCCATGCTTTTGGCACGGGGGCGGTGTGTTGTGTGTTGCTTTTTTTGATACGTCTTCTAGTGTCTTCTAGAGGTTTAATGTGAATATAATTGCGTGTCTATACATATATATATATATATTTGTCCCTTGGGGCGGGAAAATACGTCGGCTGGATTTCTGGATCTCTGGATGCGTGGATGTCTGGATTTCTGTCTGGATGTCTGGATCTCTGGATGTCTGGATGTCTCCCCACATCCGCCCCCCCCCCTCCTCTCCCCTCGCCCCGCCCCGGCGTGTCTGTCTGTGTCTCTTTGTGTCTGCGTGTCTGTCTGTCTGTGTCTGTCTCTGTCTACGTATCTGCGTCTGACCCTGCGTCTCTTTGTGTCTGTCTGCGTCTGTCTGCGCATCTGCGTCTGTCTTCGTGTCCGCGAAGACCCCTGCGTGTCTGTCTGTGTCGCTTTGTGTCTGTCTGTGTCTGTCTACGTATCTGCGTCTGTCTTCGTGTCCGCGAACGGGTCTGTGCACGCGTGCTTTCTCTCGCCCCAAGGTGTATGGGGGCGGCGGAACCAGGCCGCAGGCCATTAAATCTGGCCTCGCGTGCAATGTCGCCCTGTTCGCGCATCGCCTGCATGCCCTGCATCGCCCGCAATTGGGGCCATTCTTCCCCAAGCCATTCCTGATGGCGTGCGCGCGGCGGGCGGGGAGGGCGGGGCGGGCGGGCGGGTGGGTGGGTGGGCGGGCCGGCGTGCGTGCGGGCGTGGGGGCGGGCGGGCATGCGCGCGCGGGCGCGCGCGCTTGCGGCGCGTGTGTGGGTGGGTGGGCGTGGATGGGTGTGTGTGTGTGTGGGTGCGTCCATGCATGCGTGCGTGCGTGCGCGCGCGCGCGCGCACGCGCGCGCGTGCGGGTGTGTGTGTGTGTGTGTGTGTGTGTGTGTGTGTGTGTGTGCGTTGTTGGGTAGGTGGCTGTGTGGTGTGTGTATGTGTGTGTGTGTGTGTGTGTGTGTGTGTGGGTGTGCGTGTGTGTGCGTATGCGTGTGCGCCATCCCATCCATTCCTCCATCCCATGTATCATTGCATCCCACGGACCCACCCATCCATCCACCCATCCACCCGCCCACCGCATCCCTTCCATCCATCCATCCATCCCTCCATCCATCCATCCATCCCTCCCTCCCTCCCTCCCTCTCTCCCTCTTATCTGCCATTCATCGCGTCCATCCATCCAGCCCACGCGGCGGACATGCGAGGCCGGCGCGCGGAGCACGAAAATAACAAGTACTGTTAAGCAAATGGACGATAAGGAATCAATCGGCCTGCGCGAAAGAGTATGCAACCACGCTTCTCTGTTTGACCAAGACCTCAAGTGGTCGTGCAAACGACATCTCTCTTTTGGCCGCATTCAGAGACACGTGAGCGCCCAAGCTACATCGCAAAGGATCATCATGTAGAAACGAAACCCGAGCTAAAGAAAGTGGCCAAACAAAAAAAACAAAACAAACAACACGTCAATCAACTGGCTCCCTCGGTTCAACTTGGATAAACAAAAAACATTGCCAATTTGAATCAATCACCAGACCTTAAATGGCCATGGGTCAAAATTCCGTACCCCCAGTGAACATCCCAACCCCCACTAAAATAGACAAGAATGGGTGGTGCACCCAAAATGGGATCCCATTGGTTTTGAGCCACAGCCAGATCTTCACCAAGCCCCGTCCTTTGACTTTTCAGGTGCCTCAGGCGCAGCAGATGCCCGGCGCCCGCTTCTTTGGCCGCGGCCGCCGGGCGATGCGGGGGTCGTGCTCCGCCGGCAAGCCCCGGACCTGACGAGAGGCAGAGGGGGCGTGGGTTTTCTGGCAATGGACTCGGGTGGCTGGACCGGACCCCTGTTTTTGGGTGAGAAACCTACAGGACATCCTCCATTGTTTTGTTTTGGGGGGGTTCCAGGCCCAAAATGACCATGGGTAACTCTTCCCATTTAGTGGTGAAAGTCCTCTTTTTCGGTGGTTTTCCTGATCATCCCATGTAAAGGATCCAGCAAATGTAGGGCCGAGCGGGCAACTGGAAGATACCGGCAACAGGCCCCTTGGAAGGTCCAGGTCTCTTGAATCCAAGCTCGTCACCGCTTTTCGGGTTGGTGACAATCCAGGAGGATCCCAGGTCAGCGCTTTGAACATACCTATCTGAGGCCTTATCTGAAGGCCGTGTGCATACGATCATGCAACTGGTTGGCAGTGCGAGTTCCAAAGGGCTGCGCCAAGGATCATCTTCTGGGAATATCAGCACATGATGGCGCACGGATTGCGGTTCTGATGAGCTGCCTTCCAATTTGAGGGTCTTTGTTTGTACTGAAAGGTGCCTTGATCAACAAAGCTGGAGCCCAAATGAACCTTGAGGTCTTCCTCGCTTCCCCAGCCTTCACAAAGGTGGGCAGGCGGTTGGGGTCGTCCTCTTCCTCGCCCTCCTGCCCATTGACCTGTGTGAGATTCGTCCCTGCACGCTGGTTCCGCACCTCAACGCCGGCACTCCACCCAAACCTCCCCGACTGTCCTGAAATGAACTCCCGGTTTGCCGGCAAAACTCGAGGCCTTCTTGGGTTCTTTGATTGGAAGGCTGAAAGCTTCCGCATGGACACATGCCACTTCCGCAATCTGGGCAATGGCGCTCGAGGTTTGTCGAAGGCAGAACACACCCTGTGCATATCAATAGTTGGACGCTGAATTGCTGAACGTGCAAGTGGACTGTCACAACTGAGAAGACAACGATATAGTACGATTGCGTGTGCAGTCAGGCTAGAGGGTACAACGATGTTACACCGTCAATCCGATCACCTCACGAAGACTGCTTTCAACTACAAATCCCAAGATGATGTCAGCTGTTTCAATGGGGCGCTTCACCATGACTGCAAGTGGTGCAGTGAAATTACACTGGCGGAGCCTGAACTGGGATTATGGCTTCAATTGTTGATTGATGTTTGAGGATGCAGACCTCTCTATCCCAGGAAGGAAAGACAGACACATAGGACACACGCTTTGTCAATGCCACGTGCAATGGCTTCAGAGCTAACTTCATTTTTTCCTCTGGGAAGTCAAGTAATTACTATGACTATGCTAGTCCCCAAAACCAGGACATCCTGTCACTGTCGGGGGCTGTAAGAATGAGAAGCGGCTCCATCTGCCCCCTATGAGAATCTGGTGTTGCACGTTCGTTGACTTTACGCTTCGACCGTACGACTTTGGCTTTGTCCGGCGTGAACGCCACTGCACATTCTTGGGCAGCTTTGTTCTGCAGAAGCAAAAGACAGGGCTCCCTGAAACGCGGATTCATGACTTGGTCTTCCTAACGTAAGGCAGCCCAGACAGGTTGCTTCAGCGGCGCATTTTTTTGCAGCCAAAGTGGCTGGAGGTGCGGCCTCCGGCTTGTAGCCTTGCTGCACATAGGGCCCGGGTTGCATGGCCTGGCGGTGACAAGGCCTGGGAATCCGGTAGCCGGAAGCCCTCGATGTCTTGAAAAGGTACCAACCATTTTTGTCATTTTCCTGGTTTTGACAGCTTCCACCTGAGCGACACACTCATTTGGTGACGCAAGTACAGCAGGTTTCGCCAGGATATTGAGATATTGAGCGGTCTTCCTAGGTCCCCCCCGAAAAAAGCCAAGACGCACTGGATATGTTGGTTGCCATGTCACAGTGGGTTTAAGAATGTTTCAAAGGCAACGGATGACAATGAATTAACCACTACCTGCTGAAAACAGCAAACCGCCAAAACACCAACAGAATATGCTCTTACTAACTTCTTACTCTCTCTAAACTGAGGTGCTACTGTGATCGCTATCTCTCTCTATTGCTCTGTCAAGTGGGCCCGGAGTTTCTTTTGGCCGCTACTTACTTGGACACCCTGCTCAGTTGGTCAGTAGGCCCAAAAATACTAGGTTAACCTTTTGGGTCCATGACTGAACATGTGCCAACAAGGGAAAAGTAAAAGTTTAACAGGTCGGCTTTGGGCAAGTAAGCTTGAGAGTCGCCTAGCATCTCGGCTCAAATTCTTCAGCAACTCAATGCCTTGCTTTTAGAATAGCGAGCCTCGCTTGGGCAGCAGCAAGGCACATCTGCACTCATGTTTATATATCCGCATGCGCCTCTCATAACTGCGCTCTGCCCCTCGCGACCCGAATGGTTGTGCGTTGGGTTTCGGTTTCGCAACCAACAAGAAAGGGATCCCCGATTTGGACCTCCAAAGTCTGCTAGGCCAAAGGAATACTAAAGCATCCCTGCTTTGCGATCGATCATGCTCCTTAGTTTGCTTACACGCCATCCGATGCAAGCACCCATCCTCTGCAAAAACGGCTAGGTTCCCCTAGCAAGTCATCGCTTGCCAAGCGAACAACGCGATGCGCATGCGATGAGGATGTTGGTCAATCCAAACCACTGTTCCTGACCACACTTGAACCAAAAAGTTGGCAAATGAAAGGGCTCCTACAAAAATGATCTCGCCTATTGTTTCCCTTTTAAGCTATTCCAACATTCCAGAAATGGCCCAGCTGATGGAGTGAAGTTTCCTGGCTTTCCTGTTGAAGGGGACGGAGTAGTTGTTGCATTCTCCTGCCTGAGCATAGGCACCGTCTTGCCCTTGAGCCGGCTGCGGCTGGCCAGGCTGCGGCTGGCCCGGCTGCTGGCCGTACTGCTGGCCATACTGCGGCTGGCCATACTGCGGCTGGCCATACTGGGGCTGGCCGTATTGCGGCCCATACTGCTGAGGCTGCTGATAGGGCGATGGAGCGTACTGCATGCCGGGTGCACCGTAGGTGGCCGGGTATTGCTGCGGCATCTGCATCATGGGCTGCATAGGCTGCATGGGCTGCGCGCCCGGCTGCATGCCCTGCATGCCCTGCATGCCCTGCATACCCTGCATGCCCTGCATGCCCTGCATGCCCTGATATGGGGCCTGGGCATAGTATGGCACCCCGCCGCCGTACGGCGCATACATCCGGACCCACAAATCCCTCAAAGCAACGGCCCGCCTGGAAAACCTTGGACAAAAGCTGCGGCGGAATGCAAGGGGGAAGGAAGGGGTCTGGCAATGGCAACAATGAAGCAAATCAAGCAACTGAAGTGGCATTCTCGGTGCCTTAGTTTTGGCCTGGCAACTGCACAGCTGGAGCTCTGGAAAGGTGAAGCTCCCTTTGAACAAGCGACCCTTCCAAACGCAACACATCCAGTCCCTCCGAACAAGCGTCGCGTTCCCTCGCCCAGGAAACTGCTGAAGCCGTGCTAAGTCGGCGGCTTCTCGGTCGCAGCAGACCTTGACAAGGCATCTGCTGCTGACCTGGATAAAGCATCCGTCGCCTCAGGTAAAGTTCCACTTGGGGCACACACGCACACGCACAACGCACTCCGTAGGCATATGGCTCCAAACATGGAGAGGCTGCTGTCTTCCAAGAGGCAGCCTTTAGGGGTGTTTGGAGTGTCTCTCAGCTTGGCTGTTCAGCTTCTGCTATGATGTAAAGCTTTGATTTGGGAACCCGCATATCCTGCCAGGGCTCGTGCTTTCCGCGCCTTCCTCAAAGAGACCATGCGGATTTGGATACATGGATCAAGACTTGGCTTCCGGCATCATCCAGCGGAACGGGAACCTGCGAAAGATGCAACAGCCACAGCTCACATTGCCTGGTGGAATCCAGCATTTCAATGGAACACCTCTTCTTGTTTTCTTGCTTTTATGGGGGGGAGGTGGATGTGGCATGGCATGTGGCATCCCAGCCTACGGGGCAACACCATTAACCCACTCAGAGTTTGCACTCAACCTGAACACACACACACACACAAACACATGTACCCTTACGCAAAGGCTAGAGCTCCTTGCAAACAAGCATATTCCCCCCATCGGCGGGTTCCTCACCTGGATGTTACCCCATTTTGTTTTTTTCAATGTTTGCGACATAAGCCCACATTATCAATTGTGCCCCCTTGCCCCCACCCATTCTTGCCTCACACCGTGCCCCAAGATCTTGCAAATGATAACGCGCACACACACACAGAGCAAACACACCCTATGGCAGACACGCCTCTGTCTCTTCACAGGTCTGGATGGGCGGCCAGCTTTCTGATTCAGCTGCGGCCTTGCAAAGTGCGCAGCGAACTGAGCCTCAGCTCGTGTTTTCTTCCTGAGCTCTTGGCATTTGGCGAACAAAATGCCACTAAACGATTCGAACCTCGGAACCAAACAGAAACCAGTGCCATCGAATTTCAAGTACACTAAACTAAGGACATGGTCTTTGGCGTCGGCCACACCCACCGCGCCATGCCAGCAGGTCCCGAGAAAACGCGCCTGGGGCATCGCGGGGAAGCCTTTGAGCTGCAAGCCTTGGGCCGAAGCCGAAGCCGCAACGGTTTGGCCTAGATGGGGGTTTAGCTACGGCGGATGGTTGCGAAATCCAGTTCGCACGGTTCAGAAACCCTGGAATCTGATGATTCCCCTGTACAGACCAATAAACGATACGGATTCCCATAGCTTCAAAGTGCTGCGAAATAGACTCAAGCAAAGGAATGATCAGGATTTTCTCTACAAACAACTGGCTGCGGTGTTGTAAATTGGAGGCCAGCGTTTTCGACAGGAAACAAAAAGCAAGCCATCTGTTGCATCTATAGAGATTCTCTATTCTAGGAAACAGCCATGCGGGTGAATTGAACCATCACCTTTTGCTTAGTTGCTCAAAGGATCCAGAAATAACATGTTAAACTTTTGGCATCTCCACTAAAAATGGAACCAAAAGGTCACAAGGTCGGCTTGGCGTTCCTGATTGCAGTTGGCGAATCATTTGGATCAGCCCATCGTTGTATTGACTTCGTAAGATACATGGAGGGCCCACAGCTTTCCTTCGAACAGATTGTGTCTGCAAGTCTGGATTTGTTTCTGGTGGCTTCAAGAGTGTGCTTGCTCATGTGGCTCAAACGATATGGAACAAAGCTTTATACCTACCTCCACGTGCCTGTGTTCCTCTTCAGCAGGCTTGTGACTTGGGATGCTTTGGGGAACTCTGCTTTTCCTAAGCGGCTCCATCTCTGCTTGAAGTCTCTCGTTTTTCGAGGCTGGCCCAAACTTTTCCCGCAAAACCAGGCAAGTATTTTTTGGCTGGCCCGAATTCCCGGAAGGAGACCGTAGCGTTCCCCGTCCTGTGACCGAGGGCGTTTTCTTCGGCATCCGAGGCCGCTGCGGCTCCTCAGCTGCGTGTTCTCGCGGAGGAACTCCTCCTGAGAGCGGGAAGAGCCGTTGGGGCGCGAAAAAAAACCATGGCGCTCGGCCATTTTCGTAGCCGCCTGTATGTTGAAAAAACGAATCGATGGGCTCACGCTGCTCCATTGTACCCTCCTGCCAGTTAGGTGGTCCAATTGAGGTTTTGCTTGGCTTGGCAAAGGGAATTGATTCCCGGAGACGAACCGAAACAGGAATGTGGCCAATGGGCTATATTTCGATTGTTCATTTGAACCAACCCCGGGTGGGTCCCTCGTTTTAAGCATTAGGTTGAGGATTTTAGAAGAAATCTCAAGAGAATCTTGACATGCGGCCGCCGGCTTTGGGCGGTGCGCTTCGAAATATGTCCAGCCCTCCGAAGTTCCGAACGCGCGAAGGCAGCTGGGGTCTGGCTGTTGGCCCGGATGACACATGCCAACTGATACTGGGCACTTGGTGACTTGGTGGGCGCTGAGGTCATCACTTTGGGAACATCCAACTGGTATACTGGGCGACTCAGAAATCTGTTGCGCACCTTCACAGCAACCGGTGCCAGCAAGTCCGCTTGTCTCTGCAGTGGAAAAATGCATAAATGCAACTTCAAAGGGTCAGGATTCACTTCAACTTGATCATCATGCCAGGGAAAAGTTCAATAGCTTGTAGCGACAACCGCCAGCAAATGCCCTAGTTGCCTTCTGAGTGGTAATTGCAATCCGCTGCAAGATCGCCCCATCACTAAAATGGCATCCTTACATGCCATACTGTGACTGGCAAAATGTGTTCGCTCCACTTTGAAACCGTGGGACACCATTCTTTGCTGAAAAAGAACAGGAGGAGCATCATTCCAGGGTTTCTTAGCTGGTGCGAAATGGATTTCGACCATCTGGTTGTTACTCCCTTTTCACTCAGAAGCCCGCGCCTGCACCTGCCGCTGAAACAGGCAGAAGCGGTAGTAGTCCAGCTTGGTCCAATCATCCATGCGTGCCGGCCTCACTGAGCCAGCCTCTTTGGCATTGCCCGGCTGAAGAGGGTATTGTGCTATACTCAGTTGTTATAAGGACCTGAAGAAAAAAAGTCAACGATTTGAGAATCAGGACCTAGCTCGGGCCAAAGCTCGGAAACCAACAGCAGGTCAATTCAGGTCCAAGGCCGTCGCAACTTCGGGGCCTCATGGTTTTCCAGGCCTTCGGCTCCAGATCTATCTGGTTGGATCCTATCAAACCGTCCTTTCTTACATATCTTATTATATGTTGTATGCATCTCTGTGCGCGCACGCGGGTGCTTTGTTCTTCTAAACGGTGTGTGTGTGTGTGTGTGTGTGTGTGAGTGAGTGTGTGTGTGTGTGTGAGTGTGTGTGTGTGTGTGTCAGTGTGTGTGTGTGTGTGAGTGTGTGTGTGTTTTCTGTGTGTGTGTGTGTGTTTGGAGTGTACCCTGGTAGGGAACCAAAAGGAACTCCTTGGGGTTGGATTGGGAACCAAAAACATGTCACCCATTTTGGGAGTTCCCAACGCTGCGCCCCAGGCAAAGGCGCCACATTCGAGGGCTGACCTGCGAAGGCCGGCCAGACATAAAGTGGATCACGCGAGGCAAAGGGCACATGGCCACGGGAAATTCACATGGAACACAAGGTCCCCAGAACCCCCATTTTCTTAAGCCCCATGGCCACATGGCAAAACAAACACATTTCCAGTAGTGATAGATTCCCTCTAACGCCAAGGGAAAAAACAACACGTATTCTTGAGCAAATGGAGGAGAAGGGAGATTTGGGACTCCATCTCAACCTGCAGCAAATGAATGCATCAGAATGCTTGTTTTTGGCACATGAATGTTGGGAGTCTAACGTGCTCGCTCGCCCAGCAGCCCGCGAGAACAAAAAGAGCCTCTCTTGTTCATTCATTTGCAATTCATGCCCAAAAGACTCCAATTGGCTGTACCGGTGTACCCACCTTCCATCTCAACCAAAAGGCACCGTGTGCCTCCGGACAGCGGCACGGCCGACATGGCTGGATCTATACAACCCGCCAGGCACCGCCTTGAGTGGCTCCAACGGCACACAATGGCACCACGAGACTGGAATGCCTTATCCATAGAATTGGCCTCATTATTTTACCATGATCAAAGTCATCCCCTAAGTGATGGGTTAATGGGAAACAACCACATTTTCTCACTATGATAACCCCCAGAAACAGTCAAAATAATGACCCCAGTAGAAGACCATGCCCCCACACCCCCACGAAGAGTACAACATGTGAACAGCATAGCTGTAAGGCGTAAACTGCTCTGCATCTGGATGCCCAAACTCGGGCTTTCCAACTGGTCCTTATTTCGCGGTCCCATGCACATCATGTCTTCGGCTCTCTCTCGCTCCCTCTCTCGGTCCCTCTGTCGAACCACACGCGCACGGACAACCACACAGATTCTCTTTGGAGTTTTGACTTGAGCCTGCTCCTGCATTCAATCCAGAATCAGTCTTAATTGCCAAACGCAGCTTCAAAGAACATCTCCACGTGAAGAAGCTGCGATTCAAACCGTGATAGGTGTTCTTTCAAAGCCCTTCAGCGATGCAAACAGCCGCCGAAGTCGGCCAATTTGGGAGCATCTGCAACGCGGCGAATTTCGTGTCGCCTCATGGTCTCTGCCATGAAATGCCGGTACGAATTAGCATGGTGGGCCACTGGTTCTCAAAAACTGCTGGCGCATGAATTATTTTTCTCGAACTCAGCCTTTTAGCACCTTTCTTTCCCTCCCAAATTTGACACCAATGTCCAAGAAGTCCGAGTCACTACTCCTAGTGCTGCCACCTCTTTGCTTGAACCCCTCGTATCCCTCGTCTTTCCACACCTCCAATGCGCTCAGCTTGCCACTTTGCAGCAGGCCTATCAGTCAGGTCATCGCTTAATATCTCTGGTGGCTGGGGTGTGTCGCTTTCTTCCTAGGGGTTCAGATCAGAAAGGTTTTAGTCACTATTTCCATTTACCAGGGCAACCCAGTTACCCTATGTTTGACCCACACCCATGTTGAAACTTCTTTGGGTCTGTGGCTCCCTCTCAGCTCCATATCCCGAAGTCACACATCCGCCCCCATGGCTCATGCTCATAAATCACTCAGTCGCCATCCCGCCAGATTATGCATACGGAATAGACATAAAATATGAGAGTTTGTGAGTCTGCAAACAGCTCTGTGTAGCCTTCCAAGCAAATATTATATCATTTTCAACACAAAAAAAAAGAATAAGCTCAGGTAATATCCCCAACAACATGCTGTGCTCTTTTTAGTGCTCGCACCACCCCGCAGCCCTCGCAGAACCTCGTGGAACCCTGGTGGAACTGTGGTGGAACCCTGGTGGAACCCTCGTGGAACCTTACCTCAGGGCCGCCCCGGACCACCCCGGAGCCTATCTGGGCTGAGACCCCAAAGCTTTCAGCTGTTGGGGGAAAAAACGGCCAAGTTGGAGGCAACACTTGCGGGCCACCTGTCTCAGAAAACAGGCAGTTCTCTTGCCACGCGCAAAGCTGGACAGTATCCTCACATCCCCCTCTCTAGACTATTTCGCTTGACCCTCAAAGGGGACATGTAATTTTGACCCCGCATGAATAATCCCCGGTGTCTCCTAGTGGGATGTCCCTTGGTTCAGTGGGGAATCAAACCACTTTGGAGGGGAACACCCCCCACCCCCACATTAACAAACAGGGGTTGATTTATCTGGGGTCAACATCTAGGGGGTAGCTCCCCTCATGTACCGCCCCCGACCACGCAGAGAAACACAGCCCAATTGATCGACGCCTGCCTCGATCTCAGCCCAGAGGGCATCCGCAGACTCCTTGCTGCCCGGCTTGTCCACCTGCTGTCCAAAATTCGGGGGCTCAAATGAATCACACAGATCCAACAACAAACAACCAACAACCAACAGCCAAACAACCCACAACAACAACAACCAACAACCAACAGCAAACCGTTCTTGAACTCAAATGATCATGGATCGCACACTGCCTTGAATGACGTGGCTCGCTCTCCGATGGCAATGTACCTGGTTGCGCGAATGGAGTTCAACTTATGCGATTTGGGGCTGAGCAAGAATGCCAAGGTTGTCCTTCTCGGTGCACTTGTTGCCAATTTCAGGTCAATGAGAAGAGGCATTCCTTTGTGTTCTGGCTGTTGACTTTCGTGTCTATGTCGCGAAGCGATCCCCTTGCGCCTGTGATGGATGTGCGGATTTCCGCCTTTTGAGCGGCTTCAATACGACAAAAAGCGCACACGCACACACACACACACACACAAACAAAACATCCTTTAAAGACATGCCTCAGGAATCTCAAGGCTACTCTACAGTAAAAAACTGTTTTTTGGCAGCCCCCCAGTAAAAATGGACAGAACAAAGACTAAAAGTCAAAAAATACTTGCCAAGATCAGTGAAGTCAAAACTCTAACATCACGGTTTTTGGTTTTTGTGGCCGGACCTTCCAGCCTCAAGTCTCAAGTCTCAAGTCTCAAGTCCCCTGACGGCTGGGCGCACCCCTCGGAGTCGGACTCCATGTCCCAGCGAATGCCAGAGACAGCGGCATAGAACTCAGCAAGCGAAGGAGGGATTTCGTTTCCGATGGTAGGCTTCCCCGTCTGAAGCTGATGGGTTTCCTCCTGTCTCGCTAGTACCTCGGTTGTTGGTCAAGGGTTGCTTCTTTCAAAGGCAGCTTGCACATTGACCCAGTTGCGCAGTGACCCTGGAAAAAAAAACGGAACCCTGTTTGAGGTTGACCAGCGGGGAACCTACGAAAGGGGAAGAACGATGCCACCGAACAACTGGTAGATGATTTAACCAGTTGGAAGAGCAAAGTGTAAAACTAAAAACGTCACACCCCAAAACAACAGCATGGAGTCCGAAGATATGATTTTCACTGCCAACAACGCTGGCACTCCTTCTCGGCATCATCATGCCATGGTGAAAGTGGACAACACACTCATCTCTATAATATATGCTGGCAACAATCCCGGGTGTTGATCTAAATAGAGGGTCTAGAAACATCAAGATTTACCCAGCCCCTTCAGGCTTCTTCTTGTGCAACACACTGGGGATGGGCAATTTAGCACCCAAATCAGGCAGAGCCGCAAAATCTTTCAGAGTCCCCGACCTCATAGAGGCTGCTGGCGACTTCCAGCTGCTTCTTGCTCTCCTGGTTGTGCTCTAAAGCATCCTGCCTGCAGCATCCATTCAACGGGTCGGGCTTCTGGCTTCACCGGCCTAAGCCAAACAACCACAAGTGCCGGGTGAGCAACCAAAACAAAACAAAGCCTGGACAATTCCTATCGCCTGAGCAGCTGATACTTGCTTTGGGTGTGAACATGGTCGCGATTGCCGACACCCGAGAGAAACGACTGCTTTGGGAATGGAGTCGGAGCAGCTTTGCCATCATGCTTGCCAAGTGCATCATGCCCGACATTCCCCGCAACATTCCCGGTGGCAAACAAAGTTCGCACTTGAGGCCTTTTGTATTTGCCTTTGTTACCCTTGCATGTCTTTTGGCGGAGCTTCGGCCTTGAGCATTTGAATTTCTGCATTTGCTTCCTTGCGTGTCTTTGAACCGCCTTGGCTACCTGGACTCCTTTGGTTTGCCTTTCGTTACCTTTGCATCCTTTACCTGCACTCCCGTCCAGCTAGCAGCTACCAGCGACCAGCGACCAGCTCCCCTTGCCAGCCCGCCTCAGCTGCAGCACCTGCGTCTGTGCCTCGCGCACCGCCTTGGAAGTCTCCTCCACCGCCGGCCAGGCCGCGGCCAAGTTGCTGGCCTCGCGCCGCGGCGATGAATTGGGTGTGGCTCAAAAATAAAGACCCAGGATACCCAGGGTTACACAGGTTTTGGTCTACTTTTCCATTTGCCAGGGTTCCGTTTTGGGCACCCAATTTTTGACCCGCAGCCAATTTTTGTCGAACCCTTTTCGTCCTCGCCTGACACCTGGCGCTCTTGGATTGAAGGAAAGGCGGCAAACCCTGGGTTTCGGACCCCGAAACGGCAGACTTGGTTCCACTAACAAAGGCCTGGGAGCTTCCATGCTAGTCTGAGGGGGTGTCACAAGAACACGTCTGGTCCATACCCTCTATAGAATGCCTGAGACCTCTGTGGCGCAGTGCAAGGACTCAGGGAGAGGTTCTGAAAGAAAACACGTGGGCTTCCTGTGCCATCCGCTCACTCATCGAAAGCAGATTCCCAAGGGGCCAAGTGGCCCTGTAGGCACCCTTCATTGTTAGCATATTCCACGGGCTCTCCTTTCGTGAGTTCCGAATTGGAGTATGTTGTCGAACTGTTTCACACATGCATCGCCGTTTTTTGGCAGGTGAGACTGCGCGTTTCTTGGCATATCAAAACCATTTGGCATCATCTCAAGACAACTTGCAGCTCCTGTGGGTTTTCTCTTGCATGATACGTGCTTCTGGCCTCTGGACGATTAGGCAAAATTCTGCACTCAGTGCCAGGCGTTCTGCTGCAACTCCCAGCGCTCTAAAGACACCTCTGGCCGAGAGGTCCGGGAGATCTTTATGGGGCAAAGCGGTGCTGCTTCCGAGTTTGTCGCCTGTAAAAGAGAACATTTGCTGTCAGCAATGTTGGACGACAGGCCAAAAGTCGGGAGCAACGACATGTTCACTACTGACGTATCATCAGCACAACACAACGCATACAACAACTATTCCTTCTTCCCATCCGCATAACTGTCTGCTTTTGAACTCTCCCCTGTTTTCCAGTCCAGCTGCATGAGTCTTGCGTCAAATGGACGAATCATCTTTGGCTGTCCCTTTCCAGTGGGCGCTCAAGGCAAGCGGTTGCTTCCTCGCCTGGCCGTATTTTCTTAAACAGGGGCAACAGTCTCAAAATGGCTGGTGGACATGAATTCCCATTTGCATATCTATCAAAGGCCCCCCCCCCCCCCGGCGTGTTAAACCCAAGGAAAGGCGAGGAAGCCGCGACAGCGCCGGCCCTTGCGCCTCGGTCTGCAACTCCAAAGCCGCCTCTTTCTCTCGCCGCAGAGCCTGGACGAGACACGAGCCTTGTGTCAGCTCCACAAATCTGGGCTGTCCTCAGATCCCGACCTACAAGTGTCACTTTTACTGGCCAAACCGCAAAACCACCCAAGGAGGGGCTGGGAACCACCACGAACCAAATAAGCCTTGGAACTGATCGACTCTCAGCCGCACCCTGAGAAAGAGTTGCACCCAAGCAAAGATTTGAAACAAATGGGAGTTTTGCCAAAGCGTGGCCCAGGCTTTGTCTTGAGGGGTGCGGTTCAGGAAAATCAATACCGGTTGCCTGCCATGGCCCCTCAGGTCATGTGGCTCTTGCGCTCACGCATCAAGCGGCGAAACAAATCTAGATGCGTGGCTCGGCCGGAGATATGGTCGTGTGGAAGCACAGTCGCTTGAGCAAGATTGTGCTAAGACGGGCAAACAGTGTGATGATGGAGCAACTCTTCATTTGTCGGTTCAGCTCCCTGTGCCCCTTCGAGTGAACTTGTGCAGACGCATTTGGTTCATCGCACTCCCATCAACCCAACACATGCACTGTCTGTGCTCGGCCGTGCCTCTTCTGCGGCTGCAACCTTGCAATGGGCAATCCAGAGTGATTGTAGCCATGTATGGCAATGTAGGTTTTGCAATGTAGGGAAAGCTTGGTATAGCGGTATAGCTAGGAATAGCTAGGCATAGCCCGGCAGTCTTGCTCGGGAGCTTCTGGCATTTGTATCTGATCAGTGACAAGGCAAGCTCTGAAATGAAATCGCAAATGGGCAAATCGAGGCCGCTGTCAGTGCGGCCGAAACCTGATTCAACTACGATAGCCTTTCACATGATGCAAGTGTCAGCGCCAAAGTGGCCACGAAGAAAGACACCAACCCATGAAGAAAAAACATGCCAAAGGCCACAGTGATATGCTTCTTGTGTTTGGCTGACCGCTGGCAAGCGCCAAGGCCCTTCTTTAAGAGCCAGCCCACGTGCCTGTGATCGCAGCTGGCTCTGCTTCTCGCAGATGCTTTGATGCTTGCCCTGGGGCAGACAGCTTCAGAACTGGATTCAAAAGCGCAACAAAATTTAACCAGCTTTGAAGGGGTCTGGATTTGTGGGTTCTTGGAGACCTTTCCGCATTTACTCAAAAGGCAAGGAGCTGACTTTCATGAACAAACGGGGAACAAGGGACCCTTGATTTGGGGCAAAGGCGACATTCCAGCCCGCAAGAAGAGAGCTGAGCGGCTCATGCAATTACACCCCTGGTTGCGCTGCGGGATTTTCGTTTCGGTTGCTTCCTGCAGGGGCTGCATGAATAGGTTCTGTCTTTTCATTGAGACCACTTACATTCAACGTTCCCTTTGAACAAGATATGGATTAAGATGCAAGCATGTCTCTGCTTCTGAGATGTGTGTTTCGTTGAGGCGGCGCGCGCCCAGCTGGTTGGAAGTCAACACACCACATGCCTGAAAACCATGGAAGGGTTCCATTGAAAGTGCCAACACATTGATTTCACCTCAAAGAAAACACACATTTCACGGTCCGTGCTTGCGTGGCAAAGTTTTCACCTGGCTCGGCAAAGCTCCTATGCTTTGTCGAAACCAGGGGCTCACCCGGCTCGGCAAAGCTCCCCAAAACGCTTGGTAAAAGTCTGGGGCTTTCACAGAAAGGCGCCATTGCGCTGCATGAATGTTTGGCATCCATGAGTGCTGTGCGTTGGCGCCAACGATTTCGGGACCCCACGCTTCAAAATGTCCCAGCACTTATCCAGAGATTGCGTGCCCCCGAGCGCACCAGCTCAAACTCTTCCCGAGAGTATACGACATTGCGTCCTCGGGAACTGGTCTTTGGCGGCCTTCCAACTCTGGCGTACAAGTGACTGCTTGCAGTCACTCGTGACACGATGATCTACAAAATACACTCGCATTATCTCTGATGAAACCCGCACACGTACATGGTGAACATCTCGCATCCTAGTTTGTCCTTCCTTGTGCATGGAACCAAACAAAGGTTGTCTTGTCTTGAGAAGCACGCACATTGGAACCATCGCGGGCTATGGTCTGCTCCAGTAGTCTCGGAAAGCTCATCATACGAATCACGAATCCAACATGGCGTCCTGGAAGGCGTCGCTGGCCATGTCTTGTTGCCCGATGGATTCCGTGGGCAACTCAACAACCGATGCCTCACCTGCTTGTGAGTGGGCTGGACAAAACAACTTTGTGTTGCCGCTAGAATGGCTTTCCAACAAAGTTTAAATTTTAGAAACTCAGGAGTGAGATTCTACTGTTTTCAACATGTGGATGTCAGCGTCATTCCGGCAGATCTGGCCTCGATGACCTGCTGGAAGCGTGCCTGGCCGGCAAGAGGGCTACATCAGCCAGGAGAGATTTGGCTGTGGGCGAAAACGAATGGGATCCCATTTTGGGGTAGGTGCATCACCCATTTTAGTCTATTTGAGTGGGGGTTGGGATGTTCACTGGGGGTACGGGGTTTTGACCCATACCCATTTGAGTCCAAATCAAAACCTGAGAAAGGCCGGGCGCACCCTTTTGCAAGGCCGGCACCGTTTGTTTCATATATTTTTATCCAATGGCCTTCAATTTGGCGCGGGGCACAGGATTCCGGGATGGCGTAAGCCATGGCGGTGCTACGTACATGGAGCCACTTTGGTACACACAAAGGACTGAGGGAAAAGAATCAAATGCGTTGTTGTTGTCTAGGCACATAGGCGGTGGTATGGAGTAGCGCGATGCTCGGACACGTACTCGTGGATCATAAAACCTTCCGGAGGTTGTCTAGGCACATCATATAATACAAGCACAAAAGAAGGGTATCGAGATAAAGGGAATGATATGAGGATATAGGGACACCACCACATACACCTTGTGTATCATTCATTTTGGGACACCCCCTTAACTGAGCACTGAGTCGCTTGCTCGATAGCTGCGCCTCGGCTTCTGCAGCCTTGCGCAGCAAGGCTTGCTCTTGACGCGCGTCCGTCCTCAGCAAAGTTGTGGGAAGTGCCACTTGGCAAAAGAACTTCTCGGAGTTCCTTCAGCTAAATTATGTATTCCACTTCCCCTGTGAAGCAGTCCACAAGTCTGAAAGCGAAGCCAAGAACAGCTTTGCGTTTGAGATGTGAAAGGGCATCGAGAAAAAATGAGCACTGGCCATCACGAGGATTCCTTTGCACTTTCAGCATGCGAACGCGAATGGAGATTTGGTTTCGGTAAGAGGGAGCTAGAAGGCCTCTGTGCTTATGTCAATTCAAACGCAAGAATGCATGACTGGAAAGCAGAAGCGCCAGGCGTAGCTAGACGTTTCTTTCATATCTGTGAACAGCACGGCTGCATTCCAATACAATAGGGTTCTCCATGCTCATGGTGATGCTCATCACCAAGGATCACAGAGCTACGTGCCAGGTACAAGAAACCTAAACACACACCCACTCCCCACACGCGCATGCACGCACGCGTCGCGCACGCACGCACGCACGCACACGCACCCTCACGCACGCACGCCAGGCACCCTCTCCGTGGCAGATCAAACTTGGGCGCCTCGCAGGATAGGCTCAGACCTCTGCATGGCCTCGCTTGGCGTTGGCAGTTTCAACATGCGTTGGAAATCGGGGAATCTCCTGCCAGAGACCAACTAAGGCTTCGAGAGCTTCATGGAACCCATTTTCTTACTTCAGCAAGTGCCAAGGGCCCTACCTAACTTCCAGGAGATTGCAGCAAACCAAAGGCTCGTCTCCAGAGCCAAAGAGGAATCACTAGCCATGGGAAGGAGGGCGCCTCATGCTTGGAGCAAACATCTGCGGGCTTCTACCATTCTTTTCAGGCTGACCGTGAAATCTTCAAGCTCCAAAAAGCACGAGTATTGATCGTGGCATACCGTGGCTCTCTTTGGAGAGCTGAAGGAGTTAGAAGAAGTTGCAAGCACAAATCCTGCACAGCACGGGTGCTCCGTGTCAAGGCAAAGCTCGCAGGCCTTCACAGAAGCAACCTTCTGGCAACAATCAGAAAAAGGCAACCGAGAGCCATGCTGAAAGGTATGGGCATCTCACGAGCTACAAACAAAAAACTGTCTTCCCGAAAACAGAGCTGTCTCGCTGTGTCACGCACACAATGGCATTGGAGCCCCTTCATACTGCTCAGGCCGATTCACATTTTGTGACTGGGCTCATTCAACCCCTTGCCAGGTCAGCATAACATGCCCAGCCGGCCGGCCTCTGAGAATTCGGGCCACCCGCGTTTAGCCAAAGAAGCTGAGAGAAGCAGAGCCAAAGAAGCCGCCGGATTGCATCCTCTTTGGTATGCAGATCACTTGAGGTCATGCGCGAGATTTGACCGGCGATTTCCGAAGTCGGCTGCATTGGTCCATCTGGCGCTGAAGACAAACCTAGAGCAGGATGACCGAACAATGCTTCAGGCCACTTGATTCGACACATGCCATCATGCCAAGACCCGAACGTTCGCAGCACTTTCAGACAAAGTTCTAACGACTAGTGCTTGGTGGTTGTTGATGTGTGGCATCAATCAGCATTTGAATGCCATCCCATCACACATGCTCGCCCCAAACGTGTATGCATCTGCCACTATAGAGGTACTACACAAGCCTTCGTGATGTAATTCCTCGTGTGGAAAAGGAATGCATACAGTTACTAGGGTGACACTAGCCCAGTACTCAACAAACCCATGAGTCTTGGAAACACATCACGAGCAATTTCCATGGTCATACATACTACCTGGGTCCATGCTCGTTTTTCCCTTTACCTGCGATCTTACAGTGCAAAGGTCCCTGATAGCTAAGCGCATATTTGCCAGACCCCGAAATAATCCCTGAATACTAAATTAGAACTGGCCGATATCAAAACCAAATCTATTCTAGCGACATGTCCCGCCAGGTCCAACCCGAGCCGTACCGGGGCCTAAACCTCGAAAGGGTGCGCATGCCTGAACTGTTGAAATCCCTTGCTCAAAGAATACATTCTGGAAGGTTTGTTCCGTTATTGGGCCGACTCCCTTCATTTCGAAAGTATCCAGTTCTTCACTCCCAAAACCGGGGCCCCCTAGTGACAAAACACATTTCTCTAATTATTTTTGTATTTAGGGGGACCCCCCGATTGTTATCAGGGGGAATGGGCTAGTCACGAAGCAAGGCAAGAAACCGTGATGCCAACCAATGACAAAGCGAGACACAACTCGCTTTGCATCTCATGACAGCTCGTTGCATTCATCAAGCCCAGGATGATAGAGCCATTCGAACTCTTCCTAGCGCTCTCCTCATGACTCTGATGCGCGCGCTTGCCACTTTTAAGCCAGCTCTTCGCAGTCAAGTTCAAACAAGCAACCATCATTCCAAGAAGCGGCTTGAGTTGCTGCAGCCTCTGGATGATTTGGTCCCGCTGTACAACAAGAGACATCCAAGTCTCAAACTGTATACACCTCCCGGGAGTGAGGAGCTTGTTCCCGAGGGGCAAAGCTGCCTGCCCTGAACAGCAGAGCACAAGCGAACAAAAGGTTTGGCTCTCGCAACTCTTCACAGTGAATGATCGCGGTCTAGTACTGTTTCCTACAAACACCTGCTTGAGGCTGTTGAGGCAATTTCTTCTGCAGTGCTCGCTGGTGACCCTTGCTGTTTTGGCTCCTCCCACGCTCGCGGCACTGGTCGCACCAGGCCGCAGACTGCATCGCCTCCAAAAGTTTGTCAGAGCACACCTCCTATTCATGGAATGCATCTGAGATATTTGAGTGTGCAAACTGGGAGTGTAGACGGAATCCCAAAAGCTCATCCCCAAAATCACTTCCATCACAAGATAATGATAAACCAAAACAAGCCGTGCCCGGTGACAAATATCATTTCAGTCAATGCCAGTGTGGACACAATGCATGCTTCTCCAAAGTCATTTTCTTGATATTGCTAGGCCTGCTAGGCTAAGCTTGCTTTGAACATTCTTTTGGGATTGTTAAACTGTTGCACCAAGTCTCTTTGAAAGGCACCCCTGCATGGCTTGTAGCAGGCTTGTCTCGTCTTTCGTTTGCTGGCAGGCGATAAGCAGACCTCCCACGAAGTCAGTTTTCGAGGAAGGGCTTGGCTTCGCAAAGAGGCCGTCTACGAGCTCTGATGCCCAGTTGCACTAGTGCCTACGGGACCATACAGATCTCTTCTGGGTCTTGCATTAGAAGTTTGGCCGAACGTGAGTGTCGATAAGTATCCAACTGCGAGCCCTGGGATTTCAACTTGCAGGGAGCCCAACCGGGTATGTCAGCCCTGGAAACATAGGAACGCGACATGGATGTTGCATGCCACAACATGTGTTCTTTCTCTTTTTTCTTAGTGTTGGCAAGTTGTTTCGGCCTGTCCCATGTCCTCAACACGCTTTAGACAGATCTTTCACTCACAGGGAGCTGGTCTGGGTTTGGGCTGGCTTGCCGTTTCAGGATTCTAGCAGATGAACGTGGCCATTCAGTCACACCTCTTTGTGTCCCTAAGAAACACCACCCTAGCCACAGCTCCATCACGATTGCTCTGCCTTTTCTGGCCGCAATTTCAATCCCATCATGTCGTCGACTAAAGATGCGGGACTTCCGCACGATCGATTTTGCTTTTGACTCTTTCACGGAATGCACGGTACATGGCAAGTCTTCACATCTTTCCCCGAGCCCTTCAGCCAACCTAAGGGAACCGAACGGAAAGCCGTCGATTTGGAGAGGCGCGTTTCGACACAGAGCTCTGGGCCCTGTGCTTCAGAATTCCTGCTGGAGCAATGCAACACACCGGGCATCTTTGCACACGGAACCTTCTGAATCCCTTCCCCAAATTTCTCACTTTGGCCGCTGGGGCGCGTGATAAGCTCTGCTTGCCGGGAGTGCAAAGCTCTTGGGCATCAGCTCGAGAGACCAGCCACGCGCTTTGTCCAGCTGAGGCACGAAGTCAGCATTCTCAGAGAACTTTCGGCCCCGAGCCCCGTCTTCCCGGGCCACTAAGGCGGCAGGTCGAGAATTTTCTGCATGGGTTGCAACTCTGGCGGTGTCTCAGGGCCGAAAGCGCATCAATTCTCTGTACGCTAAGCAGGCGGAAGCCCTGCCGAATGCAGTGAGCCAAGAGAGCGCTGCGGCCCAAATCCAGCAGGGAGCCGTGAGTTGTCCGTGCGAATCTGGGACTCAAACAAACACCTTCAAAGTGAAACACATTCGCCGAGTGCACAGTGCAGAGAATATCCATTTCCCAAAAGGGCCGGCTCGCTCGAGGTGGATACACTCGGATATACTCCCATCCGAAAAGACAGTTGATACGTTTCCACCTTAAGTTCCAGAGGCAGGTGGACCGGACAACCCTGAAATTTCAGCCAGGCTCAAGATTTAGTCAATTCAACTATTGACAACTGAACATGTGTCGCAAAACTGAACCGGAGATTCTGCCATACCAATATGCGTGGAAAAGGTCAGTCTCCAGAGAAAAAACTGCAGATATACCCCAAAACATCTGGAAAACGCAGCCTGCTTGTCCGAAACACACATTTGTCAGTCTACTTCCTTGCCAGCGCCCTTACCCAGGCTCACCATGTCGACCGCTGAGGTGTGCCACGGGAGAACACGAGTACTTACCAAAGGCTGAATGACCAGTAGCCGCTGCAAGTACTCAGGTCGTGGTCTGGTGACTCTGTGGCCAAATCGGAGATGTTCCAGAAGAACCCACCCTCACACGTTCTCTCCAACATCGCAAATAACAAACCCAGTGCGTTGCAAGCATGTTCTAGGAGACCGTCGCCTGAATTGTGTCAATTTGGAAAGCTAACCCCGCCGGTGTTTGCAGCGCTCCCAGTGCTGGAGCGGCAGAGCGCTCGCCAGTGTGGGTCTTCCGTGTTCGGACGCGCTTCGGGGGAGTGCGAAGAAATCACCTTGGCAGGGAGAACTGAACGGCTGGCGCAGCGTGTTTGAATTCAGTGTGGCTGCCGCTCTAAGCCACTCAAGTGTCCTCAACACCGCCTTCTCCCCTGGCACAATTGGGGACACTATTCAACCGGTGCAGGCTGATCCTGATTCAGCTTCCTAGCATGGCGTACCAGGAAGGAAACACAAACAATCATCATCCAGCCCAAACACATGAGTAACCAGCTCCCAAACATCCTCTCTAAACATCCTCATGCGACAGAAAGCACCTCAAGGGTCTTGACAGATCTTAGGCCAGCGCTGTACAACTTGCACGCCCCTGATGCCTGAGCCCAGTTGGCACTTCCATGGCTCGGTTTGCAACTCAAAGATCGAGAGCTTTCATCATTTCCTACATCCCCCTGCTGATCAAGAGCTCTAAGGCTCCAGTGCTACTTTGATTGCCAGGGGTCTACAGCACTTACAAAGAGCACCCGTTCAAAGCACTTGCCCAAGCTTTTGGCAACCAGCAACCAATCAACCACAAGCGAGACTTCAAGTCGGCTGTACAAAAGGTGGAGCTGTCTGAGACGACGATCCTCACACACACAGCCCTCCCCCCAGGCCTCCAGTCTACTTGAGCTCCTGGGTCACTAGGCGAGGTTCGGATCTCAATCGGAGTTTCCACTTGGGAGTGGCACGTGAAGAGCTGCTACATGGGTGGCTCGTCTTTTTAAAGCTTTTTGGCTTCCATTTAAAAACCGAAGAAGGGGTGCATCATGGTACCTCAACAAAGACCTTGTCCCTTATCACAATCTTCGTGACAAATGGTGTGGATGTCAAAGCCCACAGTGCCGTGCCTCAGATCCAGGTTTAAGCCGCAGCCCTCCCAAGATTTCCAAACCCTTTCTTGGCACATAAAACTGCTCAACGCATACCTCGTAGCCGAGGCATGTCCCGTTGCTTGGCGCAGTTGCTCAGTGACCCGGCTAGAACATGGGTCGGATTCCGTTTCGGGCCGGGCTTGGGCCAGTTTTGGTGGGGACACCCAGCAAACATTGAATTTAGGGACCCTTCGGGTAGTCCAACCACAAGGGGGTCTACCATTTTGAAAAACCCCAAACAAGGGTGGAATCCACTGAGCAACTCCGGCCACAGTCCAGGTCCTTGACAAACTCAACGCACACGATCAGGCTGTTGTCCGGCCCCAGTTGCGACCTCCCCGTGCAAAAAAACACAGACCTTTTCCGGTTGGATTCGGCCATCTGCATTCGCTTTCTGAGAGAAACTGCATGTGTTTGTCGAGGTAAGTGGTAGAGCTTGATACTGTTTTTTTCTTAGTTCTTGATCAGTCAACGCAACCCGCAGGAGGTAATCTCCACCACTGCCCTCATAACCCCAAAAAGATGTCAGCTGACAACATAGTGCCCTGTCAAGAATTCAGTGCGGGTGACTGATAATTCGCCTCGGACCCCACGCCGGCAAGCGGTCAGACCCCTTCAGAACCTCTCCAA